TTCTCTTATCTACCTGCGTAAATCTTTGGGCAAGGCATATCCAATTTCTTTCTCATCTCCTTAGTATTCCAATTTCCAGATCTAAATTGCTTGAAAAACACATGGCTGCTTGCTCTTGCGATTCCCACGCGATATGTTCAAGGTTCATCCCCTCTGGAACGGAAAGACAGGTATCCAAAGGAGAAGCGAAATGCAACCATGGTGTTGGTTCTCCATTGCACACGGTGTCTCTAGGGCGAAATAAGGGCAAGAAATTTTATGGCTGCCTCCATTAGTTAGTTTTCAATTTTAGAGTTATACGAAATTGAAAAAAAAAAAAATAATGTATATAACAATGAGAGAATGATGTTACTGATTTATACATTCTGTAATGTATCACCTTACATATTAGTTTGATGGTACTGGAAACAATTTGAAAGTTCAATTTCATGGTTCTCTTTTGGAATGCTGCCAACAGGTTCATGAAGAAAGTATAAAACTAATTGCATGAAGACTCTTAACAAACTTGTCATTTTAAACCTGGTGAAACATGCAGGTTGTAAACAAATAGAACAACCTACTGTCAAAACACCATATTTTCAAACAACACCATCATAAACATGTCTACTTGTACAATATGGAGCATGAAAGGCATGCTATTGTCAATCACAAATTGGAGCATGAGTATGAAAGACATCAGAAAATTACACAAAATTTCAGAATTAAGTGAACAAACAAAAACTAGCTAAAAATATAGACATTTACATATGAGTAAATGTGCACCATCAGTGAACAAAATGACATAGCATTAGCTACCATAAATAATACTCCGTAAGTTATAGGCTGCATTAGCCAACAAAAAGATATCTAGGCTTGGCTGCAGTTACACATTCTGTCAAGCTACAATAAAATCAAAAGTTCAAGGCTGCATTAGCTAACAAAAAAGTATCTAGGTTGGGCTCCAGTTACACAATTTGTCTAGCTGCAATAAATTAAAGTTATAGGCTACATCAGCCAACAAAAAGCTATCTAAGATATAACCATCAGCCACCAAAATCCAGGCCCATAGAAATACAGAAAATCTTGATCCCGTAGTGCCATCATATTCCATTGTCCACTGCACAGGGTGTAGATGATTCAGTCTGAGAGAAGGGTAAATCAGCCACGTCCACAAGACGAGTCATAGTCTTCATGCTCCTCATCCTCCATACACATTTCTTTTCCTCTACTTGAGTTATCATCTTCCCCCCTCCAGAAATGTAGGGCTGCAGTACTTGAGCAATGTATTGAGTTTGCACATCCTTATGGACAATATACAAGTCAATTATGTTTGTTTTCATGACTAACCTTCCTATTTCAGCAACCTCATTATCATTGATTATTTGATGCAAACCCGTACTTAATGACTCTTCAGGGACAAGGTAATACAACTTCTTAATTTCAGCAGCTATACCCCTCTCTTTAGGCAAATCAAATAGCCACCAAAAGTCTAATTTATCTGGGTCCATATCAGATATAAGTAATAGAATTCCTAATAGAGTTATAAGTGTACTTTACATTAAATAAACTCTACTAGTATAAATATATCTGTCAGGGCTCCTTAGGGAGCAACCTTTTCCATTATTTCACATGGTATCAAGAGCACATTAAATTTTTCTCTCTCTCTAGATTCACTCGGCTGTATCCTTGGCCTTGTTCAGCGCTGCGTGCTAAACCCTACAGCCGCCGCTACGCTATTCATCTTCGCTAGCCCCGCCACTGCAGTATGTCGACTTCATCTTCCTCGACTTCCGCGGCGATCAGCAACATGACAACTGCTATCTCATCTGTTTCAACCGTTGCGGGTAGCACTTCTGGGATGACCGGCGCTCCTATCATGTTTGGATCGCTGCCGGCGATCACATCTACCTCTACGGGTGTGACGTTTTCATCCAACTTTGCCTCACCAAGCCGGACCTCCGTACCATATTCTCTGTTTCATACGGTACCGCCGGTGTTTTCATGGACCGCGCCTACTCCAGTGCCAGCGGTTCCTTTAGACCCGCCACCCTACTCAAGCACTGCGTTCGGCGGCACCACCTTTGTTGGATCTCCGGGGGTCTCATCCACACTGCCCCCTCTTCGGCCACCCACAGGCAGTTCTCCCGCCTGTCAGTTTTCGGATCTTCTGCAGACTATTTCTCATGTGGCAACTAATGTCACCAATATTGTGACTACCAAACTTCTAGCGGTGGAAGATTATACAACCTGGAGAAGCCAGTTTGAATCTTTTCTGGTGTCACAGGCTCTTCTTTGTATGGTTGATGGCTCCATACAGGTACCTCCTGCTTATTCCATCGATGTTCTTAACCGCCAAACTCCCAATCCCGAATTTTCTTCTTGGTTACGCATTGATCAAACCATTCGTTCATGGATATTTGCAACTCTTTCACGAGATGTACTTATCGATGTTCGTGATTTAAAACACTCGGTTGACATTTGGGGACTGTTGGAGTCTCGATTTATGTCTGCCAGTTTGGCCAGATCGATGGAATTAAAGCGTTTACTTAATCAAAGTAAAAAGAGACCAGATCAGTCAATGGAAAATTATTTGAGGAATATTAAAATATTAGTTGATGATCTAGCCACAATAAATTGTCCTGTTCCTCATCGGGATGTGTTGAAAACTATAATCATGGGACTTGGACCTGAGTATGAATCTTTATTCACCAATGTCCTTATTGCTCCTCAAAATTTTCCGTTTGAAACTCTGCGCAATCACCTTCTCGAGCTCGAGCAACGTGCCCTCTATCTACGCTCCCAGGAATCTACATCCTATCATCAGGCGTTTGGCGCTACAGTTGCTGGACAGCCCACTGGCCAGCAGGCAGCTCAACCGCACCAGCAGGGCCCCTCTTACCCGGTCGGGCCAACGCAGCAGGGATCCTTTTACCTGGTCGGGCAGCAGCAACGCCAGTCCGGACAGCAGCAGCGCGGCAGGGGCCGTGGACGAGGCAGAGGCCGCGGAGGCAGGGGACACGGCCGAGGACCACAACCAGTTCAGTACGGACAACAGCAGGTGTACTGGTATCCACAAGGGCAGCCGATGTATTCCCATGGAGGGGGTGGTCCATCGGTTCAAACTGGTTATAGTCCTCTTGCAGGGGTGTGACATCTACGGGTACTAGTATTTGTAATTCAGCTATGTCACATTTAAATATTCATATGTTACCTGTTTATGCTACTAACTCTCCCTCCGCAGGCTTGCCATCAGACAGGGGTCTTCTTGGAAGTGTTCCCCATCCTGTCGTCTGTCAAATTTGTTTTTCTGCAGGTCTTTCTGCTGTCACTTGTCCTTCTCGTTTCACACAGCCATCTACTCCTGCTCTGTTGACTACTCCTGATGAAGCTAATCCAGCTTTATGGTATCCTGATTCGGGAGCATCTGCTCATATGACTGCATCTGAAGGTATTTTATTAAATAAATCTCCTTACAACGGCTATAATTCTGTCAGTGTTGCTAATGGTGCCCATCTTCCCATTTGTAATGTTGGTGATGTTGCATTACCTTCTTCTGGTCGTCCTCTCACATTACGATCTGTTTGTCATGTGCCTCAGTTAAAATATAATTTAATTTCCATTCAAAGGTTATGTGCTGATAATAACTGTACGGTGATTTTTGATAAAAATTCTTTTTTTATTAAGGACAAAGCCTCGGGAGCAGTACTTCTGCGAGCTACCAGTAGTGGGCCACTTTACCCCCTTCGTCTGCCGTCTACGTCATCATCCGTAGTTTTAGCTTCTGTTTTAGCTTCAGGCCCTGTGTGGCATCGTACATTAGGTCACTGTGGTGATAGTATTTTACAGTTTCTTAAGCGAAAACAATTTTTGTGTTCTCATTCTCCTTTCTCTCATGACTGTGTGGCTTGTCGATTAGGAAAATCACAACGTTTGCCTTTTATGGATGCTAGTCATAATTCTAAATTTCCTTTAGAAATTATTTATTCTGATGTGTGGCAATCTCCTGTTCTTTCCAATTTGGGATTCAAGTATTATGTGTGTTTTATTGATGATTATTCTCGTTTTACTTGGATTTATCCCATGCGCCACAAGAGTGAAGTTTGTATGCACTTTAAAAAATTTTAAAGCATTAGTTGAAAATCTTTTTAACCATAAAATTAAAAATTTTCAAAGTGATGGGGGAGGTGAGTTTGTTAATAATAATATGCAGCAATTTTTCTCAGTTAATGGTATTTATTTTTCAAAAATCTTGTCCAGACACCCCTCAGCAAAATGGGGTGGCTGAGCGCAAATATCGTCATCTACTCGAATTAACTAGAACTATGCTCCTTGAAGCATCTGTTCCTAGTCAATATTGGGTTGATGCCCTTTTTACTGCTGTGTATATTATTAACAGATTACCTTCTCCTATATTAAGTGGTCTATCCCCATACCAAATACTTTTTCGTCGTGTTCCAGATTACTCGTTTATGCGTGTTTGGCTCGACCTGCTACCCAAATTTCTCGGCCACTTCTGCCAATAAATTATCACCTCGCTCTGTTCAATGTGTTTTTCTGGGCTATGCATCTGGTTATAAAGGCTATCGGTGTTTTGATCCTAACACAAATCGTGTTTATATCAGTCGTCACGTTAGGTTTCATGAGGACATCTATCCATTCAAAACACGTCCTGCGCTCAATTCTTCTACTTCCTATTGTTCCACACCAGCCCCCATGCCTCTCCATGATGTAACACTTCCTCCTCCAATTCCCTTATCCTTCGGTCATTCCAGCCTACTTCCAGAAGCCGAGACCAGCCATCAGCTGTACTCTCCAAATTCCACACCGTCCCTTAGTAGTTCGTCCACACCGTCACCTAGTTCCACTCCTGATCAATCCACACCTCCAACCAGCCCGCCCTCGGTCACTCACCCTGCCAACAGCCTCTCTCCATCACCTCCATTGCATCCACCTACTATGGTAGTAAATCACCATCCCATGCAAACTCGGGTCAAGTCTGGAATTGTTAAACCAAAAACAATTTTTAATTTAAGTACGGTTATTACTTCTACTGACCCTACATGTTTTACTGAGGCTAATAAACACTTAACATGGCGAGAGCAGTGGCGGATCTATGTTTCAGATTATGGGTGTTCATATATTTTCTATAAATAAAATTTGAAAAGGAAATAAATAATTAAATTAAATTTATACATGTATATTAGGTTATATTTTACAATTTTAGGTGTTCATGAGAACACTTTTGCACCAACATAGCTCCGCCACTAGGCGAGAGGCAATGGATGATGAATTTAATGCACTTATTAATAATAATACTTGGGAATTGGTGCCCTTTGACAGAACTAAGAATATTGTTGGGTGTAAGTGGATTTATAAAACCAAATATCATTCTGATGGGTCCATAGAACGCCATAAAGCAAGATTAGTTGCACAAGGTTTTAATCAACAAGCAGGTATTGATTTTTCTGACACCTTTAGTCATGTTGTTAAACCCACCACTGTTCGTATTGTTCTTACTCTTGCTGTTTCTTTTGGGTGGGCTATACGACAACTTGATGTTAAAAATGCATTCTTACATGGTCATTTAACAGAAGTGGTTTACATGCGTCAACCCCGTGGATTTGTTCATCCTCAATTTCCCAATCATATATGTCGTTTGCGAAAGGCCATTTATGGCCTGAAGCAAGCTCCACGGGCATGATTTCATAGATTCAGTAGTTTTCTTCTGCAGCATAATTTTGTGTAGTAAATCGAACAATTCCTTATTCATTTATCGCCATAATAGTACTATTATCTATTTATTATTATATGTAGATAATATTATTATTACTGGCAACTCTGAGTCCGTTATTACTCAATTTATTTCCACTATTTCCAAAACGTTTGCTTTGAAAGATTTGGGGAATTTACATTATTTCTTGGGTGTTGAGGCTACACGTTCTACTAAAGGCTTGTTTCTGTCTCAAAATAAATATGTTTTTGATCTTTTAGCCAGATTTCATCTTCACACAGTAAAGCCTGTTCGTACACCTCTGGCTTCTCGTACTACTCTGTCTCTCTCTGATGGTGATTTACTTTCGAACTCTACTGAGTATCGTAGCATGGTTGGTGCGTTACAATATTTAACTTTGACACGGCCAGATATTACTTATGTCGTACACTTAGTGTCACAGTTCATGCATACTCCTCGTACTACTCATCTATTTGCAGTCAAAAGAATTTTCACGTACTTACAAGGCACGCGTGATCATGGCTTATGGCTTCAGCAGTCTGATCGGCCTACTTGTGTTGGGGCATATCCGGATGCTGATTGGGCTGGGTGTCCTGATAGCTCGAGATCCACTACCGGTTTTGCAGTTTTCTTGGGTCCTAATTTAATTTCTTGGAAAACCAAAAAGCAGCCTACGGTGTCCAAGTCGTCTACTGAAGCAGAATATCGTGCTATAGCTTACACTGTGCAAGACACGCTTCATATTCGGTCTGTTCCTTTTTAGCTCGGCTATCCAATCACGGAACCAGTCCATTTATTGTGTGATAATATTTATGCTTCCTATTTGACTGCAAATCCAGTTCAGCATGCCAGAAGTAAACACATTCAGATTGATTATCACTTTGTTCGTGAACGTGTTGCTCATGGGGATCTTATTGTTCAGCATGTTCCTACTCATCTACAGTTGGCAGATATCTTTACTAAAAGTCTCCCTAGTCAACGTTTCCATTTTTTAAAAGACAACCTGCACGTTGTTTCTCCCGCACAGATTGAGGGGGTGTAATAGAATTCCTAATAGGGTTATAAGTGTAATTTACATTAAACTCTACTAGTATAAATATATCTGCCAGGGCTCCTTAGGGAGTAACCTTTTCCATTATTTCACAATAAGTTCTTCCTTCCCTCCAATAGGCAAATCAAAGTCTAATATACCCCTCTCTTTAGGCGAAAACCTAGGGTAGTAGACTTCTGTGAATTCAGCTCTGCTATGTCCGCTTCGATTTTCAGCCCTCTGTTATGCGAAAGGTGAACGCACGACTCATGGCGTGGGGAAGGCGGGAAGATAAAAGACATACAGATGGAGAAGAGAGGTAACGAACATATACAATAGAATAAAGGGTTAAACGGTGTTATGCTAAAACAAAGTTCCGTCTGGTTTATTATACATAGTATTTATGTGGCCCTCATGGGAGGTTTAGATTAATTGTGTAAAAGTGTGAAGTAGGGTTTTATTTTTGTTTAATAAGTGAAAGTAGGGATTAATCTTATCAATTTCGCCTTTAATTTATTGTATTATAGAACTTATAACACTGTTGTTTCAAAAAAAAATTACCGTATAACACCATTTTCAATTAATTTAACAATTGTAGATTAGGACTAACTCTTTAATTATTTAAAAGAAAAATGGTAGACAAAATGGAAAGAAATTGTTTGGTGTTTGGTAACACCAAAATTGACTGTATTGATTGAATCTATTGTAATTGATGAAGTTTTACCTAGAACGACTGAATTGGCTGATTATACTGAATTATAGAAAAAATTAAGAAAACGGGGGGAAATGATATGGAATATTATTAAATTGATATTATCTGTAGTAATTTCAGTCAATTCAACCAGAGAACATCAGCCATAAAAAATGGAAAGAAGTTGAAAACATGTAGAGCCCATTTGGTAACACTGAGATTTACTGAATATGATGAAATTGATAAAGTTTTGGCTGAAGCGACAAATTCGCTAGATTATGGGAAAATTATATTTAAAATAGATAGTATATTTTATTAAGAAACTATGGGAAATGATACAGAAAAATAGGTGAAATAATTTCATCTTTATTAAGTCCAAGTCCATTTTTAATTTCATCTTTAGTAATTTTAATAATGAGAACACTTACTTAATAAATCTTATTCGACTGATTATCACATTTGCAGTGTCATAAATGTATAGTTGTGTAAAGTTAGGTACTATATTCTTCTATGGCATCAATCTCTTATACATTAGTTGTGCAAATGATAGTTTTGCCCATCTAAATACATTACGTTATACATTAACGTAAAAGCACACTACTCCATATTATATGTTAGTATGTCTTTTAAGTAGGATTTGAGAAAGTCTTTTAATCGGTGAAAGCTTTATTTTGACACAATATAAAGAGTATTTCAAATTATATTTTTAATGATACAGTATGACCTTAACCTTTTATTGTACGAAAAAGTAGCTCAACGATGTTGACACTTGTAAGATGGATGCCCCAAATTCAAATATGAAATGTCTAAACAATAATGTATTATTATGAAAAATAAACAAATTTTGAAATATAGGTATCCTTGGGGAGTATGCATCTCATTTAAATGAGAAAATGTCGTCTCAAATAGTAGGATTATGAACCTTTATGTTCTAATCGGATTCATAACATTCCTAAGGGTCGTATCGTGTGAAGCAGAGGTTGTTGGAAGACATATTTTTTTAGTTTTATAAATATTTTGCAAATTGAATGTGATTGTTGTGTCGGTTAAACAACACAAATAATTCTATCACATATCACATAAAATTTATATATTGATATTAGGAATATGTGTGATATCTCATTACTAGTAGCAGTGCAAATATTTGCAACATTGTATTGATCAGTATTATTCATCGCCAATTGTGCACATGATAGAGGAATCTTTAAATGTTTTTCCAACCTTACACGGTTTGCTTTCACATGTTCCATTTTTTTTAAAATGGCATTGAAATTCAATTAGAATTTTTTTTATTCAAACAAATTAATACCTATGATACAACATTTTCTGATAAACAAAAATTGATATAAGCAAATGATAATTATGTTGAACATTAATATTTAAGATTAATAAAATATGTTATATACAGAATAATAAAATTTGGCTAAAACAATTAAGATTTTTCTAAGTTTTGAGGTTTATTCCTTCAACACTGTATTGAGCCAATCACCCCTACACTAATTATTTCAATGCTTATCGATGTGAGTGAATTTTACACGTTGGTCAAATGTAGATTAGTTTATGAAATTTAAATGTATTATTTTTAAAATTTTATTATTAACTTTAATATCCACTTTCCCATTTAAAGCTGTTAGGAGCCTGTTTGGTAATTAATATATTCAGTTTATCAGTTATATTTTATTATCAAGCACATAAAGTTTGATTTTGCTCGTTAAATTATATAATCAACAATTTTTAAGTTACTTTTGTTTACTGTATAAGATTAATGAAGGTATTTTTTATTGGGTTTTTTCTTTGTTTATCATTGAAACTTATGAAATTCTAGATGAAGTGACGTTCATTTAGAATTTCATAAGTTTGAATAGATTCAACCCATTTAACTGATTGTAATATTTGAAAACGAGTACTAAAAAATACTCCATTCTAATTCTTTAAAACTTGATCAAGTTTGTCGGTATGGACGATAACTAAGTAAAAATTATATGATTAAATTTTGTATAGAAGAGAAAATATTAATAGGATCAATGTATTTTTAAATAAAAATGGAAAGCTACAAATTACTTAGGGTATGTTTGCAAACAATTAAATAAAAGTGTTTTCCAGCTTTTGATTGAAAAAAACTGAAATTAAATGAATGTTTTCAAGTGACACATTTTACTAAATGAAACACTTAAAAGTTAAAAACTGAAAATTGCTTTTTAATTTATCTATTCTACAAAAACACATATTTTATCAAACACTACAAATTTTTACTTTTCAAAACCATTTTTTCTAAGGGTTTTTTACAAGAATATTACTAAAATAAAACTTATTTACATCAATATGACTATTCATTACTACAACGTATTACTGTGGTAACTAAAGTTCAAAACTGAACATGAATTACTATGATTTCATTACTATTCTAGTAATGAATCATATTTTTGTAAACCATCTTTATTTTGATCATATTTATGTAATTATTTCTTTTTCTAAAACATTATGAACTTTTACTATTAATTTTCTTTTTAAAATCACTTTAAAATATCATTTTTTAAATGAGAAACAATCACAAACAGAATATAAAAAAGAGAAAGATAAAAAATGTAGAGCTGTCAAACGGGCCAACCCGGCTCGACCCGACCCGTGACGGGTTATGAGTTTCGCGGGTCGGGGCGGGCCAACCCGTTTACTATCGGGCCAGAATTTTTATGACCCTAACCCAACCCACCTAACACACGGGTTATGCGGGTCAACCCGCGGGCCATAAATGTCAAAACAAAAAACAATTAAATATCTAAATTTAAATCCAAACACAATTGAAATAACAATTAAATATCTAAATTAAAATCCAAACACAATTAAAAAGGAAACAAAATTAGTGCTTGAAAATCCTTTGGTTGTATACTTGAATGTATCATCATGGCATTCATGGGTAACTGATATACTTAAAAAGTTAAAAGCTGAAATACTTAATAGTTATAATAGGTTTAATGTATCATCGTGAGAATACTTAAGCTGAAATACCTAATTTCTCACTCATTTAGTCTGATTTAGATATCATGAATAAAATAGCATAGAAGTCCTTATGTTATGAAACAGTATAACATTAAAAATACATTTATTTAGTCTGATTTGGATATCATGAACAAGATACATTAGTATTGGAAGTGAGGATCGGAAAGAACTAGAAGTAATGAGAGAGTAAAATAGATATAATTGATTTTGCCAATTTTTGTTTGGCTATTCGAATTCTCCCAAACTCCAGGCTAGAGTATATTTCAAACTAAATGATATAATTAAAAATACATAGAATAAATTATATTTGTCTTCAGCCCGCGAGTTGGCCCGCAACCCGTACGGGTTGGCCTGCTAAGCCCGCAAAATAACCGGGCTTGAAAATGATGACCCTAACCCACTTATAAGTGGGTTGAAACGGGCCAACCCGCGAGTTTCGGCCCGTTTGACGACTCTAAAAAAATGTTTAAAAGCAGGAGGAGTACAATTTAAATCTGCCAAACAAAATGATTTAGAACTCGTTTGGTAGCACGAAAATGACTGATTTGGCTGATTCTGCTGAAATTTATGAAGTTCTGGCTGAAGTGGCTACATTGACCGATTCTGCTGATTTAAGAAGAAATTATATTTAAAACATATTTTATTAATAAAATAAAGGAAAAAATATGTGTAAAAACATCTTAAATGATCATCTATAGTAACTTCAGTCAATACATCCGAAAAAGTAACTCTAACCTTATCTTTCCTAGCTTATTACACAATTCAGCGTGTGAAAACAAAAGTTGCGTGCATGATGAAAAAGTTGACTGATAGGTCTAATGAGCTGAAAAAGAGTGCTCTAAACGGCCTCTTAAAGTTATTGGCCCAAATGTTTGATCCCGTCCTATAAGGTAAACCCATCGTGTACCAAACTACCAATTCTACCATCGTTTTCTACCGCCCGCTCATCTTTACCGCCAGACGGTTGGACGTTATATCGCTCTTCTCAGTTTTCAGCTGCTCCTCTTGCCCTTAGACGGACGCAGCCTACACCACACCGTTGGTCTAATAACCTAATATCCGACCGACGGACTGAGGTTAGTAGATTATTACTAACTGTCTTCTTAAGCTGTCATTTTATACCAAGCAATACGCTGACAATGTCTCCTTAATACAGAGAAGAGCTGAAATTTAATGACGCAATGATGATGCCGTAGTGACATCAGGCGGGAACGGTTATCCCAGCCGGTCCAACTTTTATAAATATATAGTTAGAGATGTACGCGAGATTCAAATGCAAGAAATTTTCACTTTTCTTCAGTTTTTTTATTGCTTACCCTATAGAGAAGTTTTACGGAGTTGTTGGAGTGAAAAAGTAGACAATATTCGTTCAATCCATAAAGTGATATGCCGAGCATGTTTTTTCCCCTCCACTGGTGGGGATAAGTTGTAAAAAGCTTTAGTTTTGTTATTGGGAACACTAGATAGCAGGGGCGGACCTATAGTATACTTAGGGTAAGCACTAACTTCACCTCAAGAAATGTTGTTACCCTATGTTGAAGTAGCTTAAAAATTAAAATCCTCCTTAGGCTACAGGTCAGCGGTTCGAATTTTCTCTAAGCTACACCCGATTTTTTATTATTATTTTGGAGCACTTCTCAGAATCTCAGATGATGCATATGCATTTGGGCCGGGCCACTACACCTTTTAATTCTTATAGGGAAATTCTATTTGCCGTCACAAATTTGCAATCCACAGTCAAAATATTTTTCGAATAACCATACTACCCTTCCACTCGTTCATTTTTCGAGTAGGTATATGGTACAACCGGCTGTACGG